TCATCAACAACGGTGTGGAGCCATTCTTGAAGATGCTTGCAGGATATTGAAGACGGCAGGAGGAATGACTGGGTTTTGTAGCGGGAGAGAAGCTGGCGTACGGGAATGTCTGGAGCAGTTTGGCAGCAAGGAATGCGAGAGTATGCAAAAGCACATGTCCACTGCCTGCCAATTGCTTGGCTGTACGTCGAGCAACTGCGTCGGGTATGTGATCTCTGCTGGCTCTGGTGTCGAGTGAGTTGACCCACTCGGAAAAAGCCGGGACGTGTTCACCACTCTCCTTTAACTCTGCCATTGTCTTGGGAGACGGCTGGCGTCTCTCGTGCACTTTGTTGCTAGGTCTTGTAAGCTTGCAATGACCACCGGGCTACTATTCGGCGGTCCTCCGCCGAGAACTCCTCAAGCTTCAGCATGCACCATTCAGCTTTTTGTACAAATTTTTGAGTGGTTCCTCCGAGTCCAGCCGTGGTTCCCTAGCTTTGCAAAACTCTAGGCACGCTGCAAGCGCCTAAGTGCTCGGTCGCAGGAAGATCGAAGGAGCGAAAGGACTGCCACTTTTATCATTGATATTATCCGCAGAGACCATGCTCATGCGGCGAGATTGTGCTGCCACATCTCACTGAGGTCCTTATCCTGTCAGCTCCCTCGACAGATTTAGCCTCGCTAGTCAGCCTCACCTGTGCCCGCACAGCGATGGGAGCAGCATCCACCGGAGCATGATGAGATTTTGTCCAAAATGTGTTGCATCTCGACCTGCAATGCGTTCATGCGCACATATATTCAGCACGTCACGAGCGACGGGGACATGGGAGGAGCAGCACATCGCGCTATCTGATACGTCCAACACTATGGCATTGCCAAAGTTCTCGACTCACATCTTGGAGCGCACTGTATGGGGAGAATGGGTATCACTACTGTCCATTTCTGTAAATATGCACGCATGGTCTATTCATCAAGGTTTGTGGGACTCGCATCGAGGACGAGCACCGACGCTAAGTTTTACGGTGAGCGCGATGGATGCATTATAGGCAATCCCTCGCTGACATCGTTTCGGACCTCAGGTCTCAGCATCCATACTGTGGCTTTCTCCCCGCACTTTCAGTGGTTCCTCTAAGTACAGCTATGGTTTCCAGGCGCTGAAAAATCTGGAAATGCGCAGATACTCGTTCGCGGGAAGATCGAGCGGGTCAAAGGTCATACTCATCCCCGGGCGCTCGTATCCGCGCGCAAAGATTGAATTACGAAGCTGCACTACAAGCGGCGTGATCAGTCAGCTGAGCCAATGTCTAGACGACATGAGCAGCATCACCGGAACACGACGGTGTCCAAACCCTCATTGAGCTCGCGAGCAATTAGACCGCTGAGGGGAGGGGTATACCAGGGAGCACCGCACGAGTGCCACTCCGTACGAATACAATGCGCGTATGGTGCAATGAGTAATAGCTTCAATACTGGAAGCACTGCAGACGATTCTGTCATCGCCTTGGCGGAGCAAAGAGGGAGCGGCTACAAGGTGTGCGGAAGGGGTAGGCACCCGTGTGTAACGACACAAGGCAATGGGTCCTGAGGAAGCAGGGGGGGAAATAAGGACACAATGGCTAGCACCACTGGAGGCTGAGGGTAAAACGAGATTAATTGCTCTGAAATATCGCAGTGGATGGTGGAAATTAGCGACGTTACATTGTTGAACCGTGAGTGCTCTCTGTACATGCTGATCTCGTCATGTCGGAATTTTTGGCTCCGTATTCGAGTCGCACTCGCCTGGCGTCTGAAGGACAGGGGCGGTGTGTCGCATCTTCTTCTCATTGGGTGGGAATGTGGGTGGTGGTTCCTACACTGGCTGGTGTTTGCGCCATTTGTATTTCTTGACATGTTGGGCTCATATGGTGCATAGAGTTGAATGATATCCTGCCGCGGGGTGGCGGCCGCGGCCGCAGCGCAAGCTGCAAACACGAAAAAGCTTCGGCGCTAATTGCATCGTTGTAATGGTGTGAGCCCACCGCCACATCTACACATCTAGGCACCCAGGCAGGGATATGGTGCTTGCTGCCAGGTTCAAGTTCAGATGCTTCTAGTACAACTGGTTTTCTCCCCTGGCCTGATCAGCGTGTTTTCAAGGCGGACGCAGCCTTTACCAACATGCCCCAATTCAAAAACGAAGGTAAAAAGGACCTTTGGACATCATCACGTCAATCCGCTCTCTTCCAACATTCGTTTTATTTCTCCCTCTAAGTTGAGCAAAATCTGTATACAGTGCTTCCTTATTATCGTGCCTCTCATGCCTCTCATGCATGGCTACACAAACCTTACCTCGTCCCCATGTCAAATACCCTTGTCCGTCATTACGGTGAGCGCGGATTGGCTCTTCCTGCTGTCACTTCGCGGACTAAATGCATCATTCAGCACAATGACCTCCAGCACAGCAGCTCATGACCTCGCAGAGCATCATTCCACGTGAGACATTGTATACTCGGGGAAAACTGCCGCTCATATTGTCCAGTAGTGTGGCTGCTGCTACCGACGCAATGTAGACGAATAACAAGCAGATGGCTGGCATGCTCGCTGCTTCCGCCCCAGGAAGGATGGATCAAATAGGCATGATGACCATCATGGACCGGTTGCCCGCTTGGACGAGCCGCAGACAGTCAAACAGCGGACGACGCGTTCCGATACATAATCCCCATGCAAAGTATGCCACCGTGCTGGTTTTTTGTGGTCTGAAATCACTGACTTTATTATCAATGCAGAGAGAGCCTCGTGGTATATCTATCCGTACACGAGCCGGGTAGTCTAGCGGATGCATTGTAAGCATTTCGTACGAATTCAAGAAGCACACTGATCTCACTTCCTGATAGTCCTTGGCAAGCTGTCCCCAATGATGTTGCAGCCACATTTTGTGAAGAGCATTTCCGCCGCATACCTTCGGTGAATACTGGGGGCACATATGATTACGGCATGGCGGTGCCTCCCGTCACCACAACTTCGCACGATCTTGCCTATCAGGTTTCCATACGATTGCGATATGTTTCCTCTGGGCACGCTGCACGAAGGCGAACACGCAGGTCAATTTCCCGGCATCATGGACCCCATTCACGACGACAATTTTTTCGGGATATTTTACGAGAGGCACATGTCAAATTACGTGCAGAACACTGTTGATGTTGGTATCCAGTCCTCCACCCGGTACGATCAATATTTGCTCGCCCGTGCCCCATTGCACACGAGTGGAACCCCGTATATCACCGTCCATACGTGCCTAGACTTATTCAAAGGGACGAACACGACCAGAGACACGACTTTATTAGCCCCGTGAATGGCATGCACGTTCCAAACCGTGCTCCACACACGTCGACTGACAGGATCGTATTTTCCAACGCTGTTTTGCCTTCTATGGCCACCTATCGCAATGATGGCTCGGTGGCGAGTCGAGTGGAGATAACATCTGCTCCTCATTTGTCTCAGTTACAGCATCCAGGCAGGGTATGTAACACAGATTTGGGGCTGTACGCAGGTAGAAGTCTTGCATTCTCAACTACGGACCACGTGTACGCTGAATGTCTCCGAAGCTGAAAAATTACGCTGATGCCATACGCGCAGAATTCCACAATTATTAGACCGCCATGATCAACGCCACAACAGCGCTGCGAGGATTACAGCGAAGGGCGAGTCCCACATTATTGCGGCCTATGCAGAACCTTCCAAGCGCGAGGGCAGCACTCAGACAACATGCCTCTGGAGGAACTGCGGCTCTCCAATTGGTACCGATGCCAGATCGATATCCGGAAAGAACACAGCGGCGATTTGGACATGACTCGCAAGGGTGTGCACCGGCAGTGCCAGTGGAGTGGAGCGGAGTGGCGAAGCACATCCGTTGCGGTAAGCATACGTGCGCAGACATGGTACAGTGCAAGACATGTGGTGCTTTATTTACCCGAAAATGTAGCTTAGATTGCCATGTCAAGAGTCTCACGTGCATGCGCCGTGCACTGGTTGAGAACTTGGAGGGACCCGTTGTATGAGCATAGTGCATATAGTGCGCAGAAGTGGGGTGAGTGGCTGAGCTTCTACAGGACGCCGCCTCCTAACCCACGCTATAGATTGCAGCCTGCCTCCCAGTCGAAATTCTTGCTTGTGAGACAAATATGGACATAACACGCCGGTTCGGACTGTAGGGGACTCATGCCTCTCACGCAAACTTCGCGCCAGCATGGCCATGCTCACGGTTTCATCTCACTGTGCACCTGTAGATCTTAGTTTAAATCTCACTATTCAGCCGGATACTACTGTTCATAATGTTCTACATACGTTAAGGATTGACAATTTGACACTGTATCTATATTTCACTCCCTTTGCCAATCTATCCTCTTTGCTAATCTATCCTCCTCTTCCTCACTCGGGCCTGCTTGGTGGCACTCCGATTATCAGAGTTTACATTGATCAGACTGATGGGTGTGAACACGCGAGATGCACAAGTCTCCTAGACCGGCGCGTTGTGTCCCCCTTCTAGGGTGAATGGAGGGTTCTGTCCGAGACAACAATTTGATAGTCGCGGCATCTCATATTCATATTCATATACATATACATATAAGATCTGCTATTGGATAAGCAAGTGATTGCTATGATGTGATTGATTGAGAAGTGAAATTAGGAGCCTTGAGACGACTCATAAATCGATGGAATTTTTGCGGGAGTTTCAAGCGAGTTTGAAACTCGCGTAATGGAATATATTGTACTATTCAGCCTAGTATTGTGGATAACATTTCGCGATATAAGAGGACTGGACCAGCCGCTCGGTCCCCAGCCCTCGGACGATCTCTGTGCGCTCGCCAACTCCAAGCTCAGGTACTGGATAGTGAGTATACCAGCCATGCAGGACCCTGGTTGACTGTCGTTCTAAATGAGCTCGTCTTTCTCCCCAGCTTGACCTTGGTTCCTTTCGTTTCGGAGTACACGACTCTGCCCAATTCTTGCTACGCCTTTCATTGTTGGCTTCTACGACTATGCGTGCCACGACCACTCTTATTGCTGCTGCCGCTGTTGCTACACCTCTTCTTGTTAGGTAGGCCCCATGACGCTTCCCCATCCAAAGGCTGCCTTCTGGTGAAGCGTGGCTTATTCATGCTTGCGATTTGCAGTGCCACCCCTTCTCCATCCTATACCGACCTATATGCGCGCGAGGAGTTCGCACCGTATGTGTCGGCCCGCAACGCGTATGGCGCGGATGCCATATTCCGCCGTGGCAATACATTCAGTAAGCCGATAGTGCGTAGTTTTGGTTCTCCGTGCTCGAATTACGCTCACAAGCAGATACTCTGTCGTGTTGTTTACCTGATCTTCGGCTGATCATGCGTACTACTACCCATGTGTGGTGCTTGCGCTACAATTAGAAGCCCGCGGACTCTGATAATGGCATGCCGGTATGTAATCCTTGCTGTCCTTGCCAGCATTGCACTGACAGGAAGATATTCCGCTGGCAGCCCCCAGACAAATCGCGATCTCGCAATCGCAACAATCGCAACGGCGATTTTGCTTCGCACCAGTATAAACCGCCGGTAGATCAGTCTCGGCCAGCTCCTGGGTTGCGTCTCTCGCAACGCAAGCGCGAGGATCTCCACACGCGTGCATTGTTACTGCGAGCGCTGCTTGAGGAGCTTGACTGATTACATCCTAATACGCGAGAGTAGTAGATGTGTATTCTGTGAAATCAAATGAACGAAAGATGCTCCTGTCCGTAGGCTCATTAAATATCTGAATGACATAACATCAAAGCAGAAACCCAAGGCAATATTTTGGGATATAGTGTTTCAGTGGTCCTCGGGACACCGGTGTTCCTTGAGACACTCACTCTTCCTCTTGATTTAGGTAATGGATATAATCAACTACCTGACATTTGATTTGTACTCTATTAAACTACATGCTAAAAACACTTGGGGCTGAGCGGCCTTCAATTGAGGTTTTGAGAACATGATATATACCCAATTCTACCTACTTTGAGGATTTCACAGACTCTGCAAGAGATTAAATAATGAATTTATCCACACTACATAGCTAGCTTATTTGCATTCAACTTCACCCAATAAACCATGACATTTGGTGTAGAATTGCACAATCTAGGAGAATAAAATGAATGTGTGACATTGTGCATGAGGACACATGATGGGGGTGACAGTGACTCGGAGTAGCTGTCACAGAATTTCATGGCGTCTATCTTATCTATAGCGCTTAGATGAT